ATTTCAAATCTGGCTGAAATGCAATTGACATTTGATTCACTCTTCAGAAATAATCTAAGAGAACTTGTACTTAAATAATTTTAAGATGTTTTTGTCAGTGATTTGTACCGAACTGAAATGTTTGCCGACGTTGTCATTGGCACCCTGACGGGTTCCGTATCAGTCTATGCAAATTGAACCCGTCGCACCAAAAACGCCACGGTGTAACGATAGGTTATTTGCCTGTTGGTGTCATCGCATGGCAAAAATGAAGTCAATTTCTTTAGTTGAAAAGGATGTTAACGATGTTTTAAGTTCTGATTTTATTAGTCAACTCCAAATTAAGGATAATGAACCTTTCAAGGAGTGCTACTTGCAGTTTTCCAATAATGAGCATAAATTCAACTCTTTCCTCCTCGTAGTTGATCCTGGAGTAGTTAATTGAACGTTGGAAAAGCTATAAGAGGTAGAAGAGCTGAAAAAGAGGTGTCGCTGAACTTCGAGGGTTTTCTGAAGACTTGAAATTGTATGTCTACGATCCTCTCTCTTTTTTGAAGTAGATTCGATGTTGGAGGGTGACGGTCAACTGGTTAGTTTTTCTGACAACTCTAGAAAGTTGTTGCAAAATGGGTGTTAATTTCGTCAAGCTTAAGCCATACATTGGTGTCAAAAAATTAGCGAAGACGCATTTCAAGCGCAATGTGATTTTCTGCGAAGGCATTGTGATGATGAGTGTATTTCACAGACGCTGTTGGTTTCTTTGGTAGATGGTGTTAGTAAGATCAGGTTTATCAAACTCAGATGGAGCTAACATGCTCAACATTAGAGAAGTTCTAGTTCACTATGATGTCGCTGTGTTCCAATTGGAACACCGTAATTGAAGTTTTCAGGTCGGATTCTAATTGCTATTTTGGCAGAGGCATTTTCCAATGATGTCTGAGCTTGATCCAAACAAAGGTATGGCTCAATTTCAGATCCAATTTGAGCTGAAACGCGATTGACGTTTTATACACTCTTCAGAAGTACTCTAGACGGCGCATCAAAAAACATACGATGTCGCAATTTGATATCTGCTTGTTGATGTTGTCGTTTCACAAAAATGACGGGGAATGACGTTCAGTTGAATAGACTGTAAATGATGATTTCAGATCCGATGGCAATTGAGAATTATGGCAAGCTCCGAGCTGAACAGTTCAAGTATTAAAATATTTTAAAGACCACTGACAGTGAGAGTCCCTAACTTTCGCCTAGTTCATATGAGAGCAGTACAAACGAGCCAAAGCAAATATTGAGTAGATTGCAGCTTTGAGATTACTTATTTCGACATTTTTAAACAAAAAACTACACTTGGTGCTCTTCAGTTTTCACTGTTTATTTAAGAAAATGTTTGTGCTCAGCGATATAAAACACAAAAATAAAAGTCGAAAAGTGAGGCGACGATTCGTAAGAAGCGACAATTCGTAACAGTTGATTAAGCGGGGAACACTGATTCACGCGCAATATATTCATTCCTCTCGTGCCAGATGTAAGGGCAGCGGAGCAAGCGTATTCTACTTACCAATGCCTTGTTACGAATTGCCGCCCGTTACGAATTGTCGCCTGTTACGAGTTCTCGCCCTACAGAAAAACTTGATGAAAAAACTAGGTGAACTAAAAACTTACATAACTCTCGAAAAAAGATAAATAGACCCAGCTAAAACTGGAGGTACTTGTTCGATAGTTTTTGGATTTATTATAGTGATGCAGGATGATCGGCCTTGTGGCGCTCCTGTATTGATGGTGCCCAGCATCATGGTGAGCTATTGAAAGTAAGTCATATCTGATTATGGACGCTAGTTATATGCATTTTTTGTCAACCTGATTAATTAATCTTCGGTTTTAGGACTGAAAAAAGGAATTGGTCATTTCAAAAAATTGGACGTTCCCCGAAATCTTAGTTGTTTCAATCCTAAAAAAAAGTGAGAAGAGCTTAAGTTTATGAGATATTGGCATCATCCCTAAGACAAAATATTTTTCTTTCAAATTATAAAAAATCAGCGCTTCTGTAGAATAAATTTCCACAGCCGATTCTTTCGATTGAACCCTTCGCATCAGATTTGATGGGTTAGTTACTCAGAAAACTTTTTAAAAAATTGTATAAAATGGTAAAAATGTCGAAAACTTTAACAGAGACCGCTGAAACAGAGAAGCTTCTCAAAACATGCTTCACGATTGTACACTTAACTTAAGAAATGGCAGTAAAGTTTTCGGGGTTCATTAGTGTCAATAACTTTCCAAAAATGGTCTATAAATCGAATATTGGACTTTTCCGAGAATCGTAGCTTTTTATGTTAAAAGTTTGGGCGTCACCGTTCATGCCGAGGATATTTACACAACCTGTTATTTCGATTGAACCCAATAACTCAGAATTGAGTGGGTAATTTTCAAAAAATCAAACTGTTTCAAAAAACGGTACATAAACCGTTATATTAGATTTCGGGGCTTTTGAGGAAATTCAAAAAGATTCAGAAGAAACGGTCAAAAACTCAAAAAAATTATATAACAAAAAAAACTCAATATTCCGAGGGACATCATTTTTTGTGTAAAGAAAGCATGTGCAGGCGGTAATGAAGAGGAGATTGCCACAACCCGTCTATGCATTGAATACCAAAACTCAGATTTGGAAAACTTGTGTTCAAAAAAAAAATCTAAAAACCATGGCCAGAAATTCTTCCATCAGACTTTTTCGAAGGTTGAAAGGTAAGTATGGTAAAAAGAGACTAAGGGAACATGCAGACACTCAGGGCTGGGGGAGATTTTTTTTTAAATCAGCAAAGTAGTTTTTGAAAAACACTAAATTAATTGAGAAAATAAAAAAATCCAAACCGTCAAAAAAACCGGTTGTGAAAACTTATTCTACAGAAACTTGTTTGAAGGCTGAAGACAGTGGTTAAAGTAAAAAGATATCAGGGGATGATGAAGACATATACGGTAGTAGGCGGTGTTACCATTGGCAACCCTATATTAAAAATCGGTAAAATAGTTTTCGAGAAAAACGAAAATTTATGCGATAAATGATTTTTCTGAAAAATAATGAGTCTCAAAAAAATAAAATGAGACTTTATGAGTCTCAAAAAAATAAAATGAATAAACCCAATCCATTACCTTTTTCATAACACCTGTTTTATAAATTAGCAACGGAGAAAAACTTACGACGCGGTAAGAAAGTCGACAATCTACGAGCAGACATCAGTTGAGCCGAAAAAAAAATCGATTTTATAAATAACTGTATAAAATCTTATGCCCACTTAAAACTACGATGATCAACAGTAGCAACTACTATAATACTTACTTACAGTATCAGAAAAACCGTGATGTGGAACCTAAGCCGTAACAATTTGAGCAGACAATCGAAAATCGGAACAAAATTTTTACCGGAAAAAATTTCAATTTCATACATACTGAAAAAAAAGAACAAACTCCTGATGGAACTCAAAACCCAGATCTCTGGATACAAAAACGATTGCGTTACCTCCAGGCCAAATGGGAAGGAGCCTGCAAGTTGTTAGAGTTCAGAAAGTAAGCAACTTCAACATCTTGTAAGAAAAGTTGATTACAGAAAAAGTCTAGTTCCCGATTACAACACACTTGCTCTGGCAAGTGTAAATTAGCTTAAAGATGTTGAGAAGTTTAGGATAGATTATAATAGATTTTTGCATAGAAACTTTTTAGATTTTTAACTTAGCGCAGTAAACCAGACGTTAAAAATTATTAAATATTAAACTAAAACCGATAGAAAGTTGGAAAAGAACAAATGCGAGAGGCTGACCAATATTTTCTCAAAAATATAGAAAAACCAAAAATAAAAAACAAACAAACAATCAAACATTATCCAGGACTCGAACTTTGGAAAAGTACACAAGAAAAAGGAAACCGAAAAAATGAATTGAAGAACTTGAACGCTTTTCAACTGCCGAATTGCAAAAAAAAGATGAATTTCAAACTACTTTGCACTTTCTCATTCGTATTTGCAGACAAAATTCCCAGCATCATAAAATATACACTTACAAAAAAAAGTGATTTTTATAGACAGTCTATAATTATAGACCAAGTGGCCAGCCTGCAATGTGCCCAAAGAAACAGAAAGACTTCTTTTTATAAAAAAAAAACTTCATGCCGAAATTCAAAGTCAAAAATATTTGGCCTTGAAGCTGTTTGAATTTCAAAAACTATTTATGATTGACAACTTTTTTGATAAAATTATCTCAATTCGAGGAAAACTTGATCAATAGTTAAACGTTTCATTCCGCTGGGAAATCTGAAACACTTTCGAACATGTTTTTGCTGTCCCAGAGTGGTGTGTGCCTTTCTTTTAACAGGGAAAATGAACTTAACTTAAAAAATGAATCAAAATTCAAACCGTGAAAAAGGAAAGTCTGGTAAAAAGTCCTTGTTATAACTTTTCTGGTAAATTAAGTGTCTTCACTACGTTCATCGACTCTTAATCATCGAAAGAACAGTACTTCAAATGCGAACATGCTCAAAATATATCTGTTGGCTGAAGTCTGTTGACGAATTAAAACAGTGATTATGCCAGACAAGTTGTTTAAACTGAAAAAAAACATGGCATCCATATAATTACCAACTTTTCTTAAGAACCTGATTTTGTGAAAACTGGTAAAAGTGCTCAGTGCAGACTATGCGAAATTATCGAGCATCTCAACACGAAAACAAACACGCTTGCATCCTATTACAGCAAGGCCAGAAACTGAAAACTATAATTTCAATAATTAAATTTAGAAGTATCATAACATGGCAAAACATTATAACATAATATGTATCAAATTAGAATAGAGGGAAATAGTGTTCAGCGAATAAAAACGCATCATACTAATTATCTAAGAAAACTAAGATCATTATTAAATTTAATCAGCTGAAACAAGGCGCAAAAGCAGTTCCAAAGAACTCAGTAAAAGAAATTAAAAAATTTCCAGCTTTAAGAGCGTGCTAATTTCTACTTATGCGCCAAATTTCGACCAAAATTTTAAAAAAAACGCAAGTTCAATTAGGTTCTCGGTGTACAAAACTGACGAAAAGACTTAGGCCGTTGACAGACAGTGTAATCAAATGGAGTTAGAGTTTCAACCAATTAAACTGTTGCAGTCTTTTCATCATGACGCAGTCGCAGCGGCGGATGAGTTCTTGCATACAGGTGCGAGGACGTATTGGGTGTTGAGACCATTTGCGTTTTGTGGTGATGGGTTTTGTGTCGTCTGGTTTGACCTGATTGAATTCTGCACGTTGTTCGCGTGTATTGCAATTGGTTGACCAGATGCAGACTTGCCCACGTAGAAGGGTCCACAGGTGTTTGATTTGGAATGGGGGACCATTAAACTGCCATTGTTTCCATTTGGTGCTGTGTTTTGGTTATTTAATTGAAGAACTGCCTTACAATTGCTGTTTGGATGTGATTGGCTGCTGTAGATTGATACCGGAGCTGTCATTTGATTATTGCACTTATCCACATACTCAGTTTCTAACACCACGTTACTAACATTGTTGCTGTAATTAGTTATTAGTTGGCCATTCTGTCTGGCATTTGCCGCGTTCATTTCTCTTTCGATTCTTTCTCTTTCCATTCGTGCTTTTTCCATTGGAGTATGGAACCTCCCACCCTCGCCTCTCACTCTTGCCATGGCATGTCTGTGACGCGATTCGTGCAAATACTTTTTCCTCTCTTTTGTAATTTTACCCTCCGCCTCTAACTTTGCTCTTTGTTGCCTGCGCTTCAAAATTCTATTATACTGTTTTGGATTCACGTACAACGGTTCCTCTTCGCCGTCGTTTACCTGATCCGTTCCGTCTGCTGTGGTCATACCACCACCTGGACTCTCTAAACACGAACCGAGATTTGTTTGCTGTAGAGTTCCATCGTCGTTCATCACCATCACGTATTGACCTGTAGAATCTGTTTGAATTTGACCCAAACCCAGGCTTTGTTCCTGCATCACTCCACAATTTTCACTTGATTCCGCCGCAATTTGCAGTTGGTCACCCCCTCCTAAATCAACTTGGTGAGACGTTGTATGGTCCAAAGCAAGATCAGTCTTTTCATCGGGGCCTGACTCGGTTTGATTGGATGGCACGGTCTGGATTATAAACTGCTGATCGCCTATTTGAATGGTTTGGCCAGGAACGATCTGGATGGTCTGAGGGTAGCTGTCTATGCCACCTTCCCCATTATCTGTTTGTTGTAGCATTATTGTATCACCATTATGATTTAATTGAGCGAGTTCAACGGAGCGATTACCGGCAACAACAGACATTTTGTTCTGAATTACAGGATTACAGGGTTAAGGTTAAGTGAGAGCTTAAAATGCTAAATTTGAACGTTTTCGCACATTTTGTGCATCGTCAATATTTCAAAAAAAAATAGCGTGTAACAAAAAAAAACACTTTAATTGCACATCGAAATTAATTTCAATACACAAGTGTATGTCAAATGTTTTCTGTTTTTTTCCTATCAGTTCATAAAAATATTATAACATCATTAGATACACATAGTTACAATAACAATAAACAAAACAAACTCGATTACAATTATCGATGATTACTTTTCACCTGAGAGCTTCAAGATGGTTGGTAAATAAATGTTATTATATAAACTTGAAGCTTTTCCATGAAACTTTACCATGAGTTGCCACAGAGGGGTCTTCTTTAAATAATAATAAATAATAATTTTTGAATTTTATCTTTGCTTTTCTGTATGTTACTATGTCTTTAAAGTTGACTTTATCATCTGTTAGTTTGTTCCAGATTATGACGGACTTTTTAAAGAAGGAATTTTCTATGTATTGCCCATTGTATCTGTCGCCGAAATATAATTTTTTGTTTCTTGTATTAATATCTATTTGGTGGTTATCATACTCAATGTTATAATAGGCTGGCAATAATTGATGTGTATTTTCCAAAAGTGACATAAAATTTTATAGTACAGAAACATTGTTACTGGTAATATATTGTGTTTTAGCTTCAAGTCTGAAGATGAGTTGTATTTTGCACGATCGCAGCAAGTTTTTACTGCCCAGCTTAATTGTTTTTCCAGAGATATCATTAGGTTAGCGGATATTCCACTTAAAAGAATTGCTGGGTAATGCAAATGACTAATTACCAGTGCATGCATTATGAAGAGTCTTGTTTTCACTGGCAATGGCTTTTTGATTGATTGAAGTGTTTTTATTCCGCATGCCATCTTCCTGAGAATATTTTTGATTTCATCTTGGAATGTGAGAAACTGATCTAAAACTACTCCTAAGTATTTAACATTGGTTTTTTCCTCAATTATTTTATCATCTAGAGTTATAGTATGCTTTTCATCCTTTTTTCTTGAATGTTTTTTTGCTGAAAACGATGAGTTCTGTTTTTTTTGCATTCAATTGAAGTGAGTGTTCTAAAAAATAATTTGATAATAGACTGCAATTGGCTTCGAGTGCTTTAATAGCTTTTTGTGGATCGTTATTTTCGCAGAATAGTAATGTATCATCCGCATATTGAACTATTTTACATGTTTTGTCAATTTGTTTGTTGAGATCGTTAATGTAGAGATTGAATATTAGAGGGCCAAGGACAGTGCCCTGTGGGACACCCTGCTCAAGTGTAATCCAATCGGATTCGGTGTTGTTAACAATTGTTTTCTGACTTCGGTTGGTGTGTGACATTCGACCAGAATGGCCAAAATGCAGTCTCTGCAGAATTCAGGATTTTAGCAGTGAACCTTCCGGATTGGCGATTTAGAACGGATAAGGACGTTATTTGAATGATTGGCCAAACGGTGAAGGCTAGAAGATTCTGGAATTCTAAATTTTAAATTTTCGAAGTGATGACGTAACATTTCTGAGAAATGTTAAAACGGCCATTTTGGCTAAAATAGCAGAAAGAAACAGAACAACTTTATCTGCGATTACGAACAGTACGAAAATCGAGACTAAAAAACAACAACGAACTACCGAACAGCAGAGGACGTTCCGAGTTGCAACTATTGTGCTGTTACAATAGTTGCAAGGCCGTTGCGAACAACGGTGAAGGGTAAAAACCAGCCCTCCGAGTTAGCGTGAACCTGAGGTTAAGGAGCTTGATTCGCCGGATTCAAGAATCCGGAAGGGTCTCGGGACAGGAACTTTTATGAACTTGTATTGAATTTTAGCATCCTGTCATGTCCTGACTTGAATTTAACTGATATTTTGATTAGTTTTGACAAGGATGAGGTGCTAGGTGTTGGGGGGAAAGGGTTGATCCATCTTCGATGGAGATGATGATTTTTATCTACTGAACAAAAACAATAGTAATATGATAAGTAGCAGCCCTGTTTTTAGGAGTGACCTCGTGGTCTGGGGATACAGAGACCCAGCCATGAGCTCACTAATTTTGCATGTAATTCAGTTAATTTGAGCGTTCTGGTCGAAGCCGGAGAACAGTAACGTTTTTGTCAGCCTGATGTAAGAAAGACCACCGAAAAGTACTGGCTTGGTAGAGACGGTGAAAAACATGCAAAGCTCTGTTTAGACGCTAGCCAGTCGTCTTAAGACTTAGTTTTGTTATCCGTCGATATGTATCTTCCGGGCGAATGTTACATGTATGTTTTTATGGCGCTCCTGGGTGTTATTCTTTCATAACATCATGACCGGCGGAACCGTTAACGAGCACTCCGCGCCGAGCGGATGCTCATATTAACGCCCTTAATAGGCCTAAACTGCCGGGGCGGAAGGGTAGTTCGGAACGCGGAAGCCTTCCGGATTACCGTGAATAGTTTTTTAACCTAGTTAAGACCGAAAATTCACGAACCAGGAAGGGTGGGGGGAATCATGAACCCCTCATCCCCTGAGTGGTTTGTGACCAAAAACACTTAAAGATATAAGCAAAACCAAACAAAAAGTAGTATAGTACCCAAGAAAAACAAAAAACATAAAAAATAACCGAAAAAACCAAAAACAGTAAAAAAGTAAAAAATCAGTAGAAATCATCCCCCCAGACAAGATGTGATTCAACCCCCCGTTTGTTGTTGATAGATATATTGTTATTACAGGCATTTATATCAGTCAGGATCGTTACGATCAATTTTGTAGCCCGTTTGTGAGGCTTGTACTGTAGGGTTATTTGAGCATTTAAGCACGTTAATGATAAATTGCGCTCAATCCGGAAGGGTCAGCTGATTTGCGCCCAATTCGGAAGGGTCTTGGGTGAAGACCGATCCGGCAAGCAGTTCAAGGAGCAACAAGAAGGGGCTCAACGACAACAACAATCGACTGTTGGGTATCGTTAACAAGTTTTGTATCCCTTTTGGTACAAAAAGTAAGATAGTAATCTGTGGGGGGCTCGACAGTGCTGCACTGTAGTGACCCTTCACCGAACTGCGAATATCCGAGTTAAGCACCTTAATTCGGATAATAAACAAATCCGGAGGGGTATAGTATTACTAATATTATTATTCATATAGCCTATATCAATAGTCTTATATCGTTTTTCAGTGAAAAACAACGAAAACAGACCGGTTTTTAGGGTCAAAATAGCGATATTTTGATCCCCCCACAAGTCGCGATTTTTGAGATATCGATATTTTTTGAAACGGAAAAAAGCGCTAAGTTAGTGTGTTACATCGTAACTGCACTACTGTAATAAGTAGAACCGGTTAATTTTAGTTCGGAAGTGGTTGGAACTAGTTTGGTACCAAAAACCAAATTTTCCCAATTTTTGATAGTAAGAAACACTAAAAATTTAGAAAATTTTTTGAAATTTTTGAGGTAGGACAGTAAAAATAGTTGTTCGGACAACGTCCACTAGTGAATCTACAAGTCTTAAAATCCGCTACCCGAAAGCCTTCCGGGTTGCAGAGAAATCGAACATAACGTGTTTGATTTGGTGGATTCATCAATCCGGAGGGGTCCAGGTAGCATAGTTTTTCGCAAGATTTTTCTACAATAGCGTTTTAGATCGGGTCTTTTGCATTGAACTAGAAGAGTATAGGCCTTCTGAGCTCGGATCAATAATTTTTAGGTCGAAAGGACCAGATTTGCGGAAAAAGTTAGGCGGAACCTATAAGAGAGAAAATTTTTTGAGTTCGGAAAAAAGACGTTTTGGTTAATAACTTTGGAACTACTGATCATATCGAGTTGATCTTGGTACCAATAGATCAGAAATTAGCTGAGCTTACTAATAGGATCAGAAATTTTTCGGAAAAGCGAGCGAGAAAATTTTTTGATTGTTTTTAGCAAATTACACAAATCCGGAGGGGTACACCCTTCACGTTTTATAAATTTTTCTGAAAAACCCTTATACCCCTACCAAAAGTTGATAGCGATTGAGCTAAGTAACTTAGGACAGTTCTAGACAAAAAAGGAGGGCTGAAGGCACAAGACAATCATAATAGAGTCGAAATTAGGCAAGTGATAAGACCCTTCACCGTTAGTGTGAATTGTCAAATAAGTGCCTTAACTTCAATCCGGAGGGGTCTAGGAAAGGACCCTATACCCTTCGCAGTTAATTCAAACAGCATAATAGCAACGCAGAACGTATCCGGAGGGGTATAAGCTGAAATTAAGAAAACTACAAAAAGCTACTTTGACAGAGCTAAGGGCTCCGAAGTCAGAGGGGTCCGAATCCGGAGGGGTCTACTTTCCACAAAACCGGAGGGGTCCGAATCCGGAGGGGTCTTATAGTTGCTAATTCGGAGGGGTCCAAATCCGGAGGGGTCTACTATTAACTAACTCGGAGGGGTCCCAATCCGGAGGGGTCTATATTCTGACAGTCCGGAAGGGTCCTATTTGTGCCAATCCGGAGGGGTATTATTTTATTAAGGACTTAGGTAAACGAAAGAAAGACTAAAAAGCGAGAGGTATTAGGTTATTAATACACAGGCTAGGTATCAGTGACTGCACTGGTAACTTGCCTCTCAAAAAGAACCAGACTAATACAAAACAGGTCCGAACTCGGATATTCGCGACACTAAGTCTAAATTAAAAAGAGCGTGACTCATTGGTGTGGATTGAAACATAATACGTTTTTGGGAAAAGTAACTGCCCTGAGGATTTTAGTAGGTCTAGCTCGGGCAGTCCGAAGGCAGATAGGTAACACAGTACTCGGTGGGTGCAATAGACGCCCACTTGAGAAAATTACTGCCTTCAAAGTTTTGTCTGTTTGGTGCAGCACCAAGCAGGGAAAGCTTTTTCTTTAAAAGACAGGTTCGACTATTGTACTGCGACCGACTAAGAGTACAAGACACATACGTTTTTTTTATATATACATTCATATTGTGTCAATATATAATTTTTGTTT